GGCGGGGCGCGGCGAAGAACCTGTTACTCCATATATATAAAATAATGCGGTTGTCCGCATCACTTAATTGTTACAATTTATTTTTAAGTTAATTAATATTTTTATTTTAATAATATTAGTTTTTTTTTATTACTACTAAGTAGTTACTTACACTATGTTACACCTGCACCACCATCTCACGCATCTCGAACTGCAGGTACGTCACTCAGTCTACCGACACATACAGACGCAGGCGGGCGTGCCATAACTTTAAACTTTCCTCTATCATAAATATTCGAATGATAACAAGTCATCTATGCTCTGTTTAAATCGTGTATAATATAGCAACAATCACTTTAAATTGTAATAATATTATTTGATAGTAATACTATTAATACGTCTGAATCGTTTATGTGCCTCACTAATTCACTTATTTGCAATGGATAAAGCAAAAATTACACAAACCACGCTAAAAATTAATCCACAACTCGTCCCCTTCCAGGCTCTGCTAGAGCACGCAGCGAGCGAGCTGATGACTGCCGGCATGTATGAGACCGTGAACGAGGTGTACAAGGTGCTCATACCCATCGCCGAGGAACACAGGGACTATAAGAAACTCGCCAATATACACAGGTACGTCCAAATTTACAGTTGATTTCTCTAACTAGCTAGTACAATAGGGATAGATATCTATAGTTGCGGTAAATTATATTTTGTTTTCAAAATAAGAAAGTAAATTTTTATTTATGTTAGATTTGTTATTTAGCACCTACTACTCACGCCCTATTTATTACATGGACTCATAACATAAATGGTGAAAAGTGGGTGTTACATTGTACAGTGGCATTAAGTGCTGTAATGTGCACCTCTGCATACCACTTCGGGGATAAAAGGCGTGATGATGTTACATTATTATTTAGCCACCAAAAATATTATTTCACAAACATATTGAAACTTGTAATATTCTTTTTACGGGCCGAGAATTTTTTATTTTCGGTACAATTTTCTCTAGTAATAGACTAATAATAGCAGCAGAGGACTACTGTGGTGAATATTTATTTTACATGGATTTGTTCGCTCCCCAGCAAACTGAACGAGGCATTCACCCGCATAGAGCAGCTGCACGGCAAGCGAGTGTTCGGCTCGTACTTCCGCGTGTCCTTCTACGGAGCCAGGTTCGGAGACCTGGACGGGGAGGAGTTTGTGTACAAGGAACATGCACTCACCAAGCTGCCGGAGATCTTCAGCAGGCTGGAGGTATGTATAAAGAAAAGGGTACAAAACTGTTAAACTAATCCTGAGATAATCGTGGTCAAATATATATACAAGACTCACTGAGAATCTTGGTCGGTTGAAAAGGTTAGCCATGCTGATTCAACTTAGTGATCGACGGCATTACAAAAAAACGGTGTGAATCAACGCATGCGTTGTTTGTGAGTGCGGACACCGCAGGCCCATCACTGTTCTCCCTTCTCAAACGCCGGCACCGACTTCCGTCTACTGGTTTATCTAATAAAATAAATAAATAGTACTTATATGAAAACTATAAATAAATAATCACATCAATCAAATGACCATTGTTCAATATTTTTTTATGGTTAACGCCGGTGAGCGGGCAGACGGATCACCTGATGGTAGGCAATTAGCCGCGGCCATGGATACCTGGCATACAAGTGCATTACCGGCCTTTTGGGAATTAGGAATTAAAGGATTGTGGGATTCGGGGATTATGGAGATTGGAGATGGGGGTAATTGGGCCTCTGGTAAACTCACTCGCACGACGACGTCGGTTTTCTATGAAGCCGTGCTATCACCCCGGTCGAGCCAGCCCATATGTGCCGAATTGCCGAAACATGGCTCGACTACGCTTGAATATACACACTGTACATGCTTTTTGATGACACTGCAGTCGGTACGACTGCGCGTCATTTTTACCTAATTATAAATACACGGTAGCTACACACACGGACCAGTGTGCATTTTACAACAATACCACAAACTACTTAAGAGAAAGGAATAGTCAATATCGACGAACTAGTGTAACTATCAGTAATACAACTTTACTTCTTCAACTACAACTTCGTGTTCTTTTCTCTTCACACTCCAACAATTAACTACAATCTGCAAGTGTACGAACCGTACACACACCCACACTTGAATCATCGAATATACCTTATTTTCCAGAACTTCTACGGCGCCCGTTTCGGCGTGGATAACGTAGTGATAATAAAAGACTCCAACATAGTAGACGTGAGTACGTTGGACCCGGACAAGGCGTACATACAGATCACATACGTCGAGCCATACTTCGAGCCACACGAGCTGCGCAAGCGCGTCACGCAGTACGAGAAGAATTATAATATAAGTGAGTTTTGTTTTTGATTGGTTGATTCTCGATGTTGCTTGGGTTTGGGTTGAAATTAAATGTAGATTATCTTGTTGATTAGTAATTTACGGTACCTTTTTTATTATAGGACTTTTATCCTAGAAATGGCAAACTATTAAATAACTTTGTAAATGTGAAAAGGTTAATTAGTTATCCTCAAATTCGAAATGTCTTCTATTATTCAATGAAAATACTAATACCATTAAAATCAGTTCAGCCGTTTAATGAGATTAATGAAACAAACAGTAGAAAACTTATAGAAATCTATATAAAGTGTAAATAGAAACTTATGGAACATCTTGAAAGTTGAAATGGATATATTATGATGATGGGGTCGTGTCACAGAGCGGTTCATGTACGCGACCCCGTTCACGGTGGGCGGGCGCGCGCACGGGGACATCGCCGAGCAGTGCAAGCGGAAGACTATACTCACCACGGCGCACCACTTCCCATACGTCAAGACTAGGATACAGGTACCGAGGAACAGTTCACTAATATTGAGCCTTCAAAAATTTACTATAAGGCATAAACAAATGGTTTATTTTCCCTTAGTTGACCTGAGTACTGAGTATAAGTATAAAAGCTTCTTGTGTTTTCTTATGTATATTTCAATGTATTTAACCCATATCGAGATTCAAGATTTAATGACTTGTATTTTAAAAGAAATATTATTGTTCCAGGTGGTATCACGAACACAAATCATTCTGACACCCATCGAAGTTGCGATTGAAGATATACAGAAAAAAGTAAGTAACATACTATAACATCACGCCTTTTTATCCCCGAAGGGGTAGGCAGGCAGAGGTATACAGTACATCACTTAATGCCACTGTACAATGTAACACCCAATTTTCACTATTTATGTTATGAGTCCCATGTAATAGGGTGAGCCTATTGCCATATACCGGGCACAATAATTCCAGACTCTGTGCTACTACTGAGATCTTTTTAAAAACCCAGTATTACTTTGCACGACCCGGGAATCGAACCTGAGACCCCTTGCCGAGTCGCACTTGCGATCACTCTGCCGAGGTAGTCTAAATCAGTTCCTTGACCAAGATTCACCTTTAACAACAAATATTAAGTATGTATTGTATTTCAAAACGATTTATTCAATAAATAAATGTTATCAGATCAACGAGCTAGCAGCCGCCACGAGCCAGGAGCCGGCGGACCCGAAGATGTTACAGATGGTGGTACAAGGCTGTATTGGGACTACTGTCAACCAGGGACCGCTCGAACTCGCGCAGGTTATATAATATTTATTTAATAACTTACATTTGACTTTTGGTTGCCAGTTTATAACTAGCTGAACCCGCGACTTGGTCCGCGTGGAATAGTGATTCACAGCTACTCCCCCGTAATTGATAGTATGATAATATATGCCTACCCTATGTTGACCCGACCTGTTGGTAATATTCATGCAAAATTTGAACTAAATCCATGCAGCACTTTTTGAATTCATCCCGGACATACATACAGACAAACAGATAAAAATTCTAAAAACCATATTTTTGATTTCGGTATTGACTGTAGATCACGACCAAAGTATTCTTAGATAGATAGATAGATAGATTCATTTATTTGCCTGAAATATGGTGGTTTACAGATTTTATGACATAACATTAGTTCATCATATCTCGCCTATAAATTTGGCATGCAAATACTTTAACAAAACTAAATCACAATTTTCAAAAATGATTCTAAGTTAGAACAAACAACCTAAACACAACCCTTGCTAATGATTCCAAATATTCGATAACTCTTTTAAAAAAATATTCGATGTACTGTTTTCACTCTTCTACAATTTTATTATATGTATAGATGTGACATGGGAGAGATACTACGGCTTCACAGAGAAATAGATTTTCTGTAATGATTCGAGTAAGGCCTTTGTAGGCTCCTCATAATCTCCTATTTAATTTACTGGATGAATAAAATGCCTTATTTTCAAATCAATAATCAATAATAACAAGTTTTTTACAACCTTTTGAATTATAACTTTCGTGGGACATACTAAATAAATTATTTTGTTTTCGGCTTACTCGCGTAATTATTTGACGAGGAACTCGACTAGTTTCAAGCCATGCTAGAGGCTCATATTCATGAGCTGGCAATTCATAAGCAGCATTTCGCGACCCGCGACGCGGCGACTGTCGCGCTGCTACTGGCTACTCGAAACTAGTCGAGTTCCTCGTATAATTTATTTTTACAACCTCTATATTATAGGTTTTCCTGGCTCCTGTGGCCGAAGGCACGCAGCCTCCTACCCGTCTGACCAACAAACTACGTCTCGCCTTCAAAGACTTCTCCAAGAAGTAAGTATAATCATCACAAATAAAGTATTTTATTATACAGCAGTTTAAGGTTAATATTTTAATGACAAATGTTGTCTTCAATAATTGAGGTTGTTGTAATAAAGATGCTAGAACTGCTTATGTAAGTTACTAAATTATGAGTTTGTACTAATATTATTATTTGGTTTTCTCTATGTAGATGTCACGACGCTCTCCGTAAGAACAAAAACCTGATTGGCAGCGACCAGCGCGAGTACCAGCGGGAACTGGAGCGGAACTTCCAGCGGTTTACTGAACGACTCGCGCCACTCATACAGGCCACGCCCGGGCATGTCGCGCAACTCAGGTGATCACATCTTGTCTAATATAATGGTGAATTTATAAAACCTTGACATGCCATGCTTCGGACGTTCGGCACGAATGAGTCGACTTGAAATGGCCGCACAGAAAACCGGCGTAAAAACTATTAAACCGTTGTTTCGCCTTATGAGTTGGTTACTGGAGACCCAAACTCATCAACCGCCCTCGAGATTTCATAACTGAATTATAAACAACTCTTGATGTTGCGGTTGTCCATGGACGGCGCTGATTGCTTGCCATGAACTGATCCGTCTACTCGTTTTTAGGTCTGTCCCACAAAAAAAAACTGCAAATAAAATATTGCGACGTACTTAATTTATTTATGATTTTATTGATTTCAGCAATGGCCTGAGCAAACACGACTACAAGTATCAGGCGTAAGGAGTTCGCGTCACACGAAGGACGTCACTTGACCACCGTCTATGTACCTACTGTTATTTTATAATTATTACTTCGTACTGTATCTTAATTATTATACTCATTCATTATTTCTTAAACTTAGAACAACTTCTGATAGTCCACTTGTGGACAATGAGTCTGTCCTATGCCCATCCAGGTGTCGATTCAAGCGTTGAAATTTTTCAACAAGATAACGTTACCTGGAAACTGATCTAGAATCATTATTCTACGGTTCGCGGTTGTGGAGTTTTAGAACATGATATCTAATCGCGTATCTAATACATAGTAATATGTATAAGTGTACACGATTCAACGAAAATCGAATAACTTAATATAAGCGATATTATTCATTAAATATTTATCGATTAACGATTGAAACGAATATCGAAATTTTATTCTCGCACAAACTTTTAATTGTTTGTAATTTAACGTAACTAAATTTTAAAAAATGACCAGTGTTTGTGTCTGGTCATTTGTTAACGAAATACAATGAATATCTCTAAAAACTGCGTTATTTCTCTAACTAGACTGCTCTAGTCAATAAATCCATCATGGGTGCAATTTTTTTTTTTGCATAGCGATGCCTATGTATTTCCAAAGTATTCTTTTCATTTTTAACACAAAATGCATTTGCTAGAAGAGAAATACGAGAAAAATAGTTGCATATTTTTATTTTTAGATTATGTAACAAATGTGAAAGGGATTATAGAACCTTATTTATTATATTTTTAAGAACCAAATATGTATCCTTTACTCTACTATAAAGAGCTTGCAATATATTGCACGATGTTGAAAAATCGTACTTATAATTATCTGTACTATACGTATTTATTTTGTAATCAAGAAATTGAACTTCCTTTTATAGGATAACTTGTTTGAAATATTATCTATTTCAATACCTATAGGTCGTTACTTTTATGTAATCTCGACTGTTTGTCTTAAAACGTGTATTCTAATATGATCTCGTTTTTACGTGATTTTCCAGTGAATGGCGCTAGTAAAATATTGCTAGTCCAATCATTTTTCAGACACTAAAGTTCCAAGTGTGTGACTGTGTGTGATTTTACTCTACATACATATTTTATTCTACTTAGTTTTGTACGAATATTTGTCGAATGTTAACAAACATTATCAATATGTTGTTCGGAGAGAATTGGCCGAATACTGAGATGCTACTCAATTGTAATTTTAGTTCAGTAGCAGCATCGCGTTATGTGCCGTTTAATAAAGTATTTGTAGTGACAGAAATACTTTTGAGTGTCTAAAAATTGAGGAGCGTTTGAGTATTTCAAAATGAATCTTTTCTCTTTTCAACCTTTGTATGAATTGGAGGGACCATCCTTGAGTGTAGCTGAAGGATGCATATGTCAACAATATTAACATAAGATGCTGACTCATCATCCTTCAATGCTGAATAAGTGGCAAAGATGCGAGTTATACTATGATCTTACTTTATTTTCTCAGTATTTTTAATAGAAATTAGTAATAATGTTAATCAATGTATCTATGTGTCTATTATTTTTGTATCTTACTAGAATTAGTATAAATAATGCACACATTAAAACTATTTATATACATTATGCGTAAGTCAATTATTGAAAATAGTCAGTCAGAAATAAATGAGCAAGATTAAAAATACTATCTCCCCAACACATTCAATTGTTAAATGTAAAGAAATCAATAAAACCACCGTTTATAGTATTTATTCGTGTTTTATTCCTATTAAATAATAATAAACATCTAAATTATAAGTCCATGTTTCACTACAGAATAGAAACATGTCAATTTTAATATTAAAAAAAACATTTACATTTACTCAATACCAATCGACAATATTTTCATTTATTATGTTGGAATTAAGATTATGATCACATCCTAGTCATTCATCTTTTCCCATCGAAATTTGAAGAATGTTTGAAGTAAGTTCCAGTTAGCGGCCTACGAGTTTGTAATACTACAATGTTACTTGAAACACTCTTCTCTTGCTAAATAAAACGAACTAATATTATCCCTAAGGAGCGTTTAGACCTGGCCAATGTGCGACACGAGCGTATCACAAACTGCGAGCGAGCATCTTTTATATTCAAACTAGCGACCCGCCCCGGCTTCGCACGGGTGCAATATGTATATACATACAAACCTTCCTTAAGAATCACTCTATCTATTAAAAAAAACCGCATCAAAATCCGTTGCGTAGTTTTAAAGATCTAAGCATACATACGGACATACAGCGAAAGCGACTTTGTTTTATACTATGTATTGATACCACTCGTGCGCAGTCCCCAACATGCTCGCAAGCGACGCATTCACCAGCTATAGACGCCCAATAGGACGAAACTCAGCGTCACTTGTGATGAGTAAGTAATTATTTTTACCGAAAAACTACAATCATGCCACCTTACGTTAGTCAATGATTATAAAATTTAGGAATAAATATGAAACTTGTGTAACATACACGTACGGATGTAAACATAATATTATTTTATATTTATTATTATTATTACAGTAGTCTCTACAATGACTATTTGCTTCTCACTCTGAATTCTTGCAAAAATATAAACATGGGCTGTATGTCAGCCTGTTCTCCAAATCACATAAAACTATTACACAGAGAGAGATCAATCTCTTCAACTTGTAACATTAGCTGGTACTTCACTAAACTACGAAAGATCTTGTAACAAATAACACTTTAAATGTTTACAAATCATTGGAAGATAATGTGAGAGAAGTGTCTTTTGACATAAATTGCATTTGTAAATAAATATACAGGAACTCGTTAATCACAATCCAAATTTCATCTGTATCTTTATAAAAATAAACTTATTCAATGATCATGCATGATAAAGTTCAGATGGTGATGAAACTCACCTGTATTTACTTACATCAGAGCAAAGATCTACCTGACATGTCAGAAATATAAATATCTAAGTATATACCAAGCATAATATGCAAATGATGAAAAGATGAAGCCAGTGGCCCACTACTGCCACAAAACAGCTTATAAACTACACATTCACATGAATACACAAATACGGACTCTGTCCGTGGGAATCTATCCAACATAAATTAAACCATATCTTCTCACATTATAGTTTTCAAAATGAATAATAGTATTATGAATACTATTGAAATAGTAGATCCATCGCATGTAACACTCCTTAGTGTCGTGTGTTATATGTGGCGTTGACGCTCACGAATCTCCAAGGCGCGGTCGTAGAAATAGTCCCCGCCATATCGGATACTGGGCATGCCACATGCGATTCTATATCATTCGGACTCCGCCGGCGTGTGCCACGTAAGCCTCTCTTCGTAGAAAGCGATCACCTGCAAATAACATGTATCCATTATAGACCTTATATCTGATGTTTAGAGACTACTTTTGTATGAACAAATTTTTGGGATTTTCATGATATCTCAACATATTAAGATTATATAGATTCGTTTTTTATTTTAGCTGTCTATATTAGGTAAATTATTTAAGTATGTACCTGTTGAGGACATTTGAGATTAGCAACTCTAGCAGGCACTAGCTCAGCCTCATCAGAATCAGCCCATTTAATTAAAAACATCAGCTCTCCTGTTGCATCTGATGCACCTTGAAACACAGAAAACACATTAGTAGTTCTTACCCTATTTGCAGTATACAAACCAAGTATATTATTATAATAAAATAATGTATACCTATAATCTTCTCAGCTTTCAGCCCTTTATCGAAACCAGATTTTGATTTGTCTTCCTTGCGTTCCCTCTTGGAGTCCTTGTGGTCGTCAGCAGATGAGACACTGGTGCCACGGCCTTTGCGCCCAGAGGAAGTCTCTTCACTGGATTCACGGACACGTTTTTTGCCACGGTCTTCTGGTTTCTTCGTTTTTGACTAGATATAAAAATATAATAAGATTAATTTACAACGAAAAGCTGTTGTTGCATAAGTTTGTCTACTATAGTGCACTCAGTGGTGAACAATATAATAGCCAAACAAATTAATAATAAAACATGCAGACATGTTCTGGTTTGGCATATGGCAATAGGCTCACCCTCTATTACATGGGACTCATAACATAAATAGTGAAAAGTGGGTGTTACATTGTACAGTGGCATTAAGTACCGAAATGTGCACCTCTGCCTACCCCTTCGGGGATAAAAAGGTGTGATGTTATGTTATTTTCTGGTTTATTCTCACAATTAAATACAATAGATAAGACAACACTAATCTGCTGATATATTATAAATTATAAAGTTAATAACAAAACACTGCAGTAGGAGCTAAACTGTATATTTTCTTTAAGATACATTCACATAGAAAATAAGTAGTCTATTGAAAAATATCATTTTGTTTTTATGATTCCAAACTTTTTAAATTCAGAGACATTCATTTCAACCAATCAGAACGCCAAATGTGGTAATATTTGGATCTCGATAAACATGACTCTGACTAAGCTGTCAGAATACTGATAACAGATTCCCTACCTCTTTTTCTTTTTCTTTTTCCTTCCTATTTTCCTCAAAGGTCTTGATCAGTTCCTCACAGTCAAGATTCTCCACTGGTTCCCATGTGCTCTCGTCCTCTTTGTAACCCTTCCATTTCAACAGGTATTGTATCTGGTAAACAAATATGGTATGTTCAATGCAATTGAATGCTATTAACCCTTGGTATGCCAGAACGTAGATATACGTGAGACATAATGTATTTTCTGTTGTCTCACATGCCGGCAGATAAGAGGTTAAAGAAAACTTACTTAAAAAGTAAAACTGTAACACTATATTTCATATCTTAAACTTATTATATACCTACAGCTGAAGAGTTAATTTGTTTGTTTGAATGTGTTAATCTCCAGAACTACTTCTTTCATTTGAAAAATTCTTTTGGGTTGTATAGACCATTTATCGAGGAAGGCTATAGATCAATAGGCGCCAAGCAAAGCAGGTAGAACCGCGCGAAAATAGCTAGGAAGTGATATAATCATAAATGAGAAAGTGAATAATTAAGTACAGTGTGAAATGTCAACAATACAAGTTCAGATTGATTAAATGCAAGGAAAGTTGCATTCACTCACATGAGTGGAGAGCTCTGACAAATAAATTGTTTTATGTTTGATTAGGACTTTATTTAAACGAAATTAATTAAAAATGAAATGAGATGAATTTGAGTATTATGTTTCAATCTATCAATCATTACATTGAATTTGTTATCATAGAAGTTTCGCGAGTATCGCGAGTATTTTTATAATGCCACCTACAATAACATGTTCATACAATACAGCCACTAATGGTGCTCTTGCCATGGGTCTTCAAGAATACCATGGTCTGGTCATGGTCAACATGGTCTGCACTACGAACTATGCCAAGTGGCAAGCATCAGTAGCTTTGGGTAGGTATTATGTTGAATGTTGAATGAAAGGTTACCGCTTTGCCGATACTTTATAAACATCATGACAAATTAGTACGAGCGCCTAACCAACGTGGTTGAGGAAAACAGAAACAATACCTTCTGAATTAGCTTATTCATTAAGTATCGCTAATTTTCAACATTAAGTTTATGAAAATAATATTAAAATACGGAATTCTTACCTTTCCTTTAACAGTACGTTTGTCGAGAACCTTCTCTACTACATATTCTTCTTCACTTGATGCCTCACTTGTATCACCTCTTTTATCCCTTTTACCCATTTCAAATCTTTTCAATGTAATATATTACAAAGAAATAATTTAAATGGTAAAACACAATTACCGTAACGAAGCGTCAGTCGTCGATGAAAATTCTTAAAATGGCGTCTCAACTCTCAAGAAGTCGAGTCGATGGCCGACACATGAAGCTTGTCAATGTAAATAAATAAAAAGTAAATAATTTTTAATTACTTATTTGCACTCATTGCTCAAAATACTAATTTATTGTTATATTCTCTTAGATAGAATCAAGACCGTAATCTTTTACATAATTGTATTTATTTAAAACAAGTTGAGTCTAATGGCAACACTTAAATCATCAAAACTACCAACATAACCAACAATAACAAAGGAAATTGTTATCTCATTTTCTATCTTTGTCTACTGATAACTGATAAATTCATGCTAAAATGTACAATTTCTTTAAAATAGTGAAATATGTGGTTGTTTAATATTTAAGGTATTGCAGATTCACAGCACCCAATTTTTTTGTCATATCATTCATGCCTCGAAATGGTCTTGAAAACTGGATTTTCATTGCCACAACAATGGAAAGAGTGAGATAACGATAACGCTCTCGTGACAAACTTCACACTTGTTTCATTCATTTTTTTCATGTTCTATCAATCAAAACACGGCACCAGCCGTGAGCCGTATCGCAATCCAATCCGCAGCAGTTTTCATTTCAGTCAATCAGCCAGCCTGTTGCGTTGAGTGTGTGTATTCCAATACAGTTAACGGATCACGTATAAATTTGTGCTATTTGATATAAAATATATCTACCAGTGTTGTTAATCGTGTAGTGTGAACTAAATAAACAACTTGTTACATTAACTGAACTAAAAAAGATAACACGAAGTTTTGTGTCGATTCGAGTGGTTTCAAATTGACTTTTGACGTCACGAGTGACAACCAATCGGTTGGCGCGAAAGAAAAAACTACATTGCGTGTTTTTGTTTTCATCAATCGTGCTTACGAAGTTTATTGTTTTGACTGTATCGGATGGCTCGTAATAGGTGAATGTTTGTTTTGTTGGAAATATGCTTTTAAAATGTACTGCGGACGGAAGGCCGATCAAAGTGAACGGAGCGCCGGTCAATCACGGGAATGGTGCGAGAGGTAAGGTCCGCTTTTTATTAATTACCTAATTTAGTTATCTACAACTTTCCTGGCTAACACTATCACAAATCACACGAAAATTGAACTAAGCAACTTAAAATTGACTACTATTGCGTCTGAGTTTGTATTTTTTCAAAATAATAACAGGAACATTGTCAGCTGTTGGTACTGAACGACGCGCGGACCGCGGCCTAATCGGCTCTCGTATTATCTAAGTAATTAGGCTAACAAAGAAAACATATCACTAATAATCGTACATTCCTACGACTGTTCATTCGTAAAATACATTTGTTACTGCGTAAATGTCTGTGTAGATTGTACTTTTATTGCCGACGACTTATCTTGCAGTGACGTTGCTCAAAAAACTGGATAGCGGTACCTAGCTACCACAAACCCTTACTTCTTTGAGAAATATCTAGCACCTATCTATTCTCTATTTCTCTATTCCATGAGAAGACAATGCATTTTCAGTGAGTCGGTAGGTGCCTATCACCTGTTTGGTATCGCCTTACCTATGCCTGAGACGTATGTCGCCTTACCTACCTCTTCGTTATTGCGTTGCTCCTGCAGTCCAGCTATACTCCTGTTTTACGCTACATCATCTAGATAATCAACTTCAAAATATGTCAAACATCCTGAAGGACGTAGATAGATACTAGTGTCTACCCAAAGCGTGTTGCACTTTTTGTCTACTAAACAAATCGACTACTATGACACCGTACATGCGTGTCTGTTTCACAGATTGCCTACCTACCTATAGAACATTACATACCAAGGTCCTTAGATAATTATCTACTTCTATCCACTAATGTCTATATCGGACTCTTCACCTTTCCAACTCGCCCTAGACAACAAGGTTTTTATTAGTCTATTACGTTGGGCCGCCCTTGCGACCTTCGGTTGTACGATTTCTACTTTCCCGATTAAAATGTCGTTACAATATTCTGTTACACGCAAGAATCCAGTTATAACTGGATAGACAGAAACTTGAAACTCGTTGCCGGCGATAATGTTGCGCCACAATTTCTTCCCAGCTCAATCGACAACTCTTTTTTCAGATTTGGATACTTCTGATAAAGTTCTGTATCCTTTCGCATTGCCTTTTGCAACTTCAGACGTTACCATATATTTTAAATATTTCTGTGGACGTTACGCACGTCTCATTTTAAGTAGTAGTTTGAAAAATAGGTACTAAGAATGTTTTTGTCTTCCCTCCCTCCCTTTACCAAAATTCGTCCGATCCTGCTACTCCGTTACCCCTTTTATATTGATCTAGGTCAAGTGTCGGTTCAGTTTCAACTAAGCCTCATATTTCACTTCATTAATCCAAGGACCGTAGGTATTTACTTGCTGGTAAATTACTTTTCACTTCACTGTCTGTCACTGATAAACTCTGTCTAGTGGATCGAGTCGAGTTTCATTGGACGCCATTTTATTGATCCCAACCACTTTTAATTTGTTACAATGTTCTACTGGTGTTGCTTTGCCGTCAATTTTAAAATGACGACAGTCATTATTCGACTTTAAATGAGACATAGAAATGATTTCTGGTTATTGATATTTTTACCAAATTATCAGAACTAAGAACTTCAAGGAATATCATAATTAACTATTTAATTCTTCATCTTGTTATCATCAGCATCGAAGTTGGCAGACTCGAAATTAATAACCATTTTATTTAGAAATACTCTAAAACAGAATAACAGATATTCTGCTACGTTCAGTCACATAACACCGGCGAAGGCGAAGTAAGAATTAAAAAAAAGTTGATAACATTATACAACGATTTTTCATGATATTCTACTGTAATCGTTATCTCTATGAGTCATCGAATATCTTGTACTGGATTACTATTATATGCTATAAGATTACGATACGAAGTACTGAAGACCCGCGCCTGATATACAGAACTACTGACATCAATAGCAAAATAAATGTAGTAGTATTATTCTTTGTTATTGATGAGAATAACTATTATAAAATAACATTGATGATACTCCATAGTTATAATATTTCTATTGACTATTGTAACTTTAGTTACGCTACTGGAGGTCTGGTCTGCTCGTCCGACCTCCATGCCAATCTTCAATTTTCCAACAGGCTGACAATGCACTTGTATCTCATCTGATGTTGCGAGTGTCCATGAGCACTTGAGCAGCACCGATTGCTTACCGTCAGCAGACGGCGTTTGCCGCCTACACCACAATACAGTGTTAAGTAATGTTTTATTATAAAAATCTGAAAAATATTGAACATAGATAAATGGAATATTGTAGATGTGACGTCTCCGATTGTAACGATCGGATGTTATGAAGATTAGCATCACTGAACTTTTTACTGTTGCGTAGGCAGTTCAGATTTACAATCTCCATATTTATCTCTTCAAAATTCTTATCGTTCGTAAACGTTAGTACACTGCTACTTGAAACAAAATTACTTAATGTTATGATGAAACACTGATTTTATAATGCAATTATCTATATTACTACCCGATTACTGTGGCTGTGAATGCCCTAAAGATACAATTTTCAAGATGTGTCCGAAACATGTTAAAGATTGCAAACTAAGTAACCAGAATCCAGACAGACATTACACTTTACTAGTTTAGCGTTTCGAAGCTACATAGGTACCTACTTTATTTCCCCAAAGACTGGGTAATTCTAATTAGAGACGAGTAGCACTTGACCCGAAGGAAATGGCATTACAGAAGTAAGGTAACACCGGCACCACCGTCCGTTAGGCCACACCTTCAAAGCACATTTGTCTCAATTGACTCGCAACACGTGGAACGAACACCGTTTATCTTTTAATTAAACTCCTGAACCAATAAAATTGTTAAATCAGTAAAGAAACGGTCGATAAGACGAGCATTTCATTTCTTCGTGAGACTTGTCTGCAAATGTTTGAGAAGTGCAACAAAAAACAATACTTAAACTGTCAAACACCAAGCGGTCACTGGTGACCGCAACCTATTGTTATATAATTGTGTCTACAAAACCGGTACTCGACGAGTTAAACTGTTTACAAAATATTATGAAATTCCCAATTTGTTATTTTGAATCATCATTTAAGTCCGCTGAACATAGACCTCTCCAAATGATTTCTAAATCGGCCGGTTGGGGTCAAACTGCGCCTAGCGGCTTCGTCGATCAACAATTTGATTTCAATTCCAAAACTACATGTGGTTGAGTACAGTATAAACGTAGAATAGTTAGCAGTTCAGTGATATTTTCGTAGTTTACTACAAAACGTAAGATTGATTAATAGCAGTATCATAGTCATTTTTCTTGTCAACATGTCAGTCAGATTATAACGGTTCATCAGTAGTCTCTGTCCTGATGTACGTGTAATGCAGGTGCCTTGATGATGCTACTGACATGACGTAGACACCACGACACACATGCATGACAAACCGGATATCTCGCTAAATATTTACACACTAGCGTCTACACTATTATACGTTGAGTTTTTGTTCTATATTTAAATTTGAATTTTTTTTTTTACCTTATGCAACAAGTTTTTATGTTCTCGTTCAGTTTTCGAATAATTTGAATTATAAATGGCCTGTGATTTGTATTGAATTTTTAATTAAGCGGTGTGGCGTCTCAATGCTGTTCCGATCGATGGCGCCTGAGTCAATTGATTGTTACAGTCCCCTCTCTACTTGATATTGATCATATTGACACGATCGCATTATTGCAGTCTTCTTAGTTATTCGGTATTCCTCAATTTGCATTTGAATAAAGCATTGTGTAGTTAGCTACTTACTTTTTACTGGTTAAAAATTGTATAATTTGCGTTAATAATGCGATTAACTAATTCATTGTAATTTATTTAACTACCTAATTTATTGTAATAGATTTCGTCTGGCTAGACTTACACCGGTAAGTCTACTTGTATTTTTACCAGAAAATAAAATTGATCAAATAAATTACTAATTGCAATTACATAACATACATTTGTACGTTTATACTTTTGACAAAGTGTAAAATACAGTAGGTACACTTGGGCTATGGTTA